TTTATTAGGATTTTCATAGAGACAATGAGGTATTATGGTGAATGTAGTAAGTAAGAATGTGCTGTTTTGGTGTTAGGAATATTGTGCTAGATTTGGGTCAGTGTTTGTGGCTAGTTAAGTTTAATGCTAAGACAGATGAAGACCGTCCTTTTCCTCATTCCCTATTTTGGCCTTGTGCCACATTTTCTGTACTTATCAGAAATAAATATCGCTCTTCGCTATGGTATCAAGACTTTTTTAATTCAAGAACTCTACTAGACTGACGTCGAGATCTCATTAACTTAAGTTCTATGCTAAGAGTTCTTTTCCAGCTTTATGCTTTCCAATCAACTTTAATCTTCAAAAATTTAAATGCAATATCAATCGCTATCTACTGTCCTCCTGATTATTCTTTTAATTGTCTCTCATTAGTAATGTTTCTGTTTCTAATTGTTTCACGCCCAATAGCCCTTTGTGTCTTAGTGGCTTTACTGCCTTGCTCAGAATTAATAAAATACGGCAATCTCTTATTTTTTTTTATTTTTATAGTATCGTAAGTAGATGTTTTCTTTGCTCCCGACTAATCTATCCCTGTGACAGAAATAACTATACTTCGAAAATATTTCAGGAAACGTATTCCTTATATAATTAGGTTTTAACAAAGCATTATATGAGAAAAGGTTTTTTTTTTCTCTAACTTTACTGGTGAGCTTTTTTACTTGCTTTAATTAATTTTCTTTTTTTTCTTCTTTCCTTCTCTTTAAAAACCCAGTAAGAGATATTTCATATTCCGAGACACCACGTCTCGCATTGAGAATCACAGCTTATATCTTAAGGAAGACATTTTAAATTTTAAAAATATTTTTAAGTTTGCATTCTGTAATGCAAAAGTCGCTATAGATGGAGAGAGAGACAGAAAAAAATTCGACTCAGATCGTATCTTTTCATTTGATTTTATTTCTGTTTTTTTTTTTTTTTTTTTTTTTAAAATTCCAAAACTGCAACGAAAATTTAATTGTATTCTTACAGATCTGTCATTAGATGGCAAGGAACGTTTTATGCTAAAAATGACTTCCGAACAATCATGAACATATAGAAATACACTCTCACAAACACACACGGATATATATATATATATATATATATATATATATATATATATATATATATATATATATATATATATATATATATGCGATAAAGATATATATTTTTATATATCAAGAACAATATTGGGGGAAAATGTATGACATAATGGAAAAAGTTTTCTTGCGACGCATTTCGTCCTTTAGGATTTAATCTAATTTGTTATGTCGGTGCGACTACGCATGCGCTCGAACGAAGGATACTGGGAATTTTTTTAATTTTAATTTTTTTTTTTATCTTAGTGATCACAAAATAAATAAGCAAAAATAAATAAACAAAAAATAATAAAACAAAAAAAAAGTAAACAATGTACTACGCGTTATTGCGTGATAATTCTCTTTGACTGGCGGGAATATATTGACAATGTTTCAGCCTACAACCTTTCACCTCATTCTGATTATTTCCGACGCTTAGAATAAGCGACGTTTAATACGTTCTATTTTGAACTTTGTCACGCCATTTGTTCGGTGTTATAAACATATTTAAGATTCAGAAAAGAACCATATCTGCTCATAAAAAAAACGACTTGCAGAAATATTTCGATGCAATGCTTCCTGATCTACCACGGCGCCAGTTGTGACGTGGCCGTTCCAGGGTCCTATCCCGGTCACGACACCAGTTGTGACGTCCCTAAACAGCACCAATTGTGTTCGCTCCTCGCTGCTCCGTCCGGGTGTCGCTGCTCCAAACGTGACGTCCGCCTGTCGCGTCAGTCGTGTTGTCTCGTCCTGTGACGACCAAATGGCTTGGTATCGGTTGCGGCACCCAAATGTGACGTTCTAACCTTTTGGTGATTCGGGTGGGAATCTGGTTAGATTTGATATCAGCCTCGCCGTTCCCAACTCGCTTCCAACGCCTGGTTACCAAGGTAACTGCACTGATCTCCAGTCTGCCTACCCACGTTGTGAATTGATCTTAGACAGACGAGATCAAACAGTGGCTGGGGCCATAATGTAAATTGAGTTCAACGGGGGTGATAACACACAAATATGCATAAAAGAAAATAAAATGAAAACTCAAAAAAAGTTCAAAGTATCAAAGAAAAAGTTAACAAACTTTATGTCTAGTTGTTCGATACATAGGACTGCATCTATCTCCCGACCCATTCTGTGGATTGTGACACGTCGTTTTCGCTAGGCAAGTTTTAACACTTCAAGTTGTTTGCTCTCTAAGAAATTTGTGTTTCGGTGTGTCTTTGGACGAAAGTCGAAATAACTTATTTCGGTGGTCTGGTTCTAAGTCACTCTTCAAAATAATTGTTCTTGGTTGAAGATGGGTCCGAAATTTTGCGTGAATCTTGGTCAGCTATCTTGAGGCGGCTTCAACTCTGGAAACTGGAGCTCGAACTTTCTGGACATTCATCTCTGCCGCCAGGGCCCGAACTTTCTGGACACTCATCTCTGCCGCCAGGACCCGAACTTTCTTCTGCCCGCCAGGGTCCGAACTGAACTCTGCCTGTTGGGGCCTGGCTTTTATTGACGCCGACCAAAACCGGGGTGGGTCTGTTGGCGTCCGGGGGGTTCCTCGATAATTCCAAATACATATCCACCTCTTCTATTTCTGGTTAGGGATTTTCCACTCTTTTCCATTTTTGGTAACTTTTTTTCACTCCCACTTTCTCACCATACTTCTTAGGGGCGTGAACTGCCCCTCCCCCCACTTCTTCGTAGCCGCTTCTCATACTTATACTCTGGATGGGGGCGTCGACAGCCTTCTTCGTGTGTCACGTGATCACTCTCGGCCAATGAGGTCTTGGTCGGGTATCTTTCCTCCCCCTTCGTGCGTCACGTGATCACCACTTGACCAATGATGTCTTAGTCGGGCGTGAACAATCTGCGGCTTTGTTTCGGAAAAAAAATATCTTGCTTAACTAAAAAAAAATTATCTTTTGCTTTTCCTTTTCTTCTTTACTCGCCGTATCATTTCTCTGGCCACCAACGGGAAAATATGAACAATGGGGTCATAATTTTTGTTCTACACGTGGCTTACGTCAGGTATTTTATCGCTAATTTATCAAGATGGTTGGTATTCTTAACATGGCCTCAAAAAAGAATTATCCCCAAGTTTTCAGTCAGTCTGACGTCTCCAAGGAAGAAAGAAAAACACCCCTGGGTCCCCACCCATTTTCCTTCGGCACATATTCCTGATAACATAAATTTATTATCGCCGGCAAAAGTTGTTTTGTCGAAAAGAATTTAGTTAGCGAGACCGCTTGTGTGGGATTTTAATTTTCCATATCTAACTAAGGCTCTGTAGCTACACCTGTGTTTTGTCAATTATCAAGATTAACATTTTCAAGTGGACTTTCTTTGGCGAACATTTCTTGATAACACAATTCCATTCGCGCAGGCCAAGTAGGAAAATCGGTCAACGATTACTCGTAGGTGGCCTTTAATTTTCATATCTGTCCAAAGTCTTTTTTAGTCGCCTGTTTCTTTTCGTCACTTATCGAAATAACATTTTCACTTGAATTTTTCCTTTGGCCGGTGGTCTGTGTTGATAATAAGATGCCTTCCCGTACCAATAGTTTGTTTTCATATCCTTAGATAACACTTCCCTACCCACTCAAATCTCATTGTCATTGTAATGACACTCTTTCGCCATTGCCACTTATCAAAATAACCCTTTTTTTTTTATTGCCTCTTAGCCGTGTGTGTGTTCGCTTATCACCTATGATTCGGATCTCGCCTCACTTTTCCTTTCTTTCTTTTTTCTTTCTTTTCCCTTTCTGCCTTTCTTTCTCTGCCTGGATGCATGGTGCCATATATATATATATATATATATATATATATATATATATATATATATATATATATATGTACATATGTGCATATGTTTGTATATATGTACATACGCATATATACATATATATACATATCTACATAAACAATATAAATCTACCTAAATTTATACGTAAAAATTCAGATAAAAGATGACAATATATCTATAAAAAGACAATATGAATAAAGACAAGAAGAAAACTTGTCTTTACCGACGCGTTTCGTTCTCTGCATTGATAAAATTAATCGCAGGCTGCCGAAACGCGTCGGAAAAGGAAAGTTTTCACTTTTGTCTTCATTTGTAAACTAATCTATCTATCTATCTATCTAGATAGATAGATAGATAGATAGATAGATAGATATTAGTGGTTAATATACACATACATATGCAATCATATATCTAAACTATATAAATATATATACATACATACACATACATATATATATGTATAAAAAATAATTCCAAGAGGATAGAATCCAGGTAGAACTCAATGTCAGTAAGGATATAATAAAAAAGCTTAAACACTAATATTCCATGGTCATGATTTATTCCATTGGAATCGTAAATACGATCCAATTCATATTTATCTGTTTTCATTTTGAATTTGTAGGTCTGATGAATTGGATCGTATTTACGATTCCAATGGAATAAATTATGACCATGGAATATTAGTGTTTAAGCCTTTTTTATTTTAATTTATTATATATATATATATATATATATATATATATATATATATATATATATATATATATATATATATATATAAATATATATAAACAAAAACTATACTAATATCAACTACTATTTATAAACTACTATTAATAAATAGAATTGTATGTTCACTTATCTCGTCATAGCATGATTCGTAATATCTGCCAAACACTGAGTAGGGTAAGATAAGTTAACATTTAACTTTAATTCTTACTGTTTATTTGCAGCTATCTTTTGATATTGAACATATTGGGAATATTGCTTATATATACTATAAATATCCTAGTCTGCCTTTTTTATTTTGCCATTGCGAAGCAATCATTGTTATTGTTATATAAACTAAAATGCCGAAACATGTATTTATAAATATATAATAAAACAGATAGATAGATAGATAGATAGATAGATAGATAGATACAAAAAGAGATGTATATAGTTAGACATATAGAAAGAGCGATAGATAGATACAGGCAGACATGCATCTAGACGAATAAAGACAGTTATGTATACAGACATACAAATATATAGTAATATAAGATAGATAGATAGATAGATAAGGAACAGGGTGAGATAGATAGATAGATAGATAGATAGATAGATAGATAGATAGATAAGAGAATGAGATAATAATAGACTGATATAATAACTATGAGATATGACAGACAGAAGAGAAGAGAGTGATTGATACAGTGACGATATTTGATAGATAGATAGATAGATAGATAGATTTTACAAAATAAAAAATATTGTTAATATTAAATATATTTATGATTCAATGCTTTCAAAAAAATTGCGAATCTCTTTTAATTATATTCGTTTCAATTTAAAATTTTGCATTAACTTTTATGTAAGCGCAATGCGTTTGTTTTGTTGCACGTCGATTTGTTCTCGTCGTCTGTACATGTTCAAAGACTTCGTTTTTTGTGTTTTTGTTTTTTTTGTTTTTTTTTGTTTTTTGTTTGTTTTTTATTATTTTTTTTGCTATTAGAAAAGTTAGTTAAAGCTTTTATTTTTAGTTATAATTATTTAAAAATGGAACAACAACATCCAAAATATCTACCAACACAGATCTACATTTCCTGTCTTTGACAATGATTTTTGTCTATGAACCTATTAAAATTACTCACAAAACAATGAAGGCAAGATGATCAGAAGAATATCCTACCTAACGAGTGCATTGCCTACATAACGAGTTTCTTTAAATGGTTGACAGAATAGGTATTAGAAGAGAAGGTGAAAAGACAGAATTTACTCGAAACTACAAAGGAAAGGAAATTAGAGAGGGCCATGATTGCTCACGTTCTGAATGGACAGGGCATATACAAAGGTGTACACGTACATGTAGATAGATAGATAGATAGATATATAGATAGATAAACAGGTATATACAAAGACAGACTGATATATATATATATATATATATATATATATATATATAAAAAGATAGATAAATAAACAGGTATATAGACATATTGATAGATATGTATGAAGATAGATAGATAGATAGATAGATAGATAGATAGACTGATATATATATATATATATATATATATATATATATATATATATATCCTAAAGGGCCAAATATATATATATATATAAAGATAGATAGGTAGATAAATAGGTATATAGACATATTGATAGATATATATGAAGATAGATAAACAGACTGAGATAGATAGATAGATAGATAGATAGATAGATAAATAAACATGTAAAATAGGCAGACAGACTGATAGATAGATAGATAAACATGTAAAATAGGCAGACAGACTGATAGATAGATAGATAGATAGATAGATAGATAGATAGATAGATAGATATATAGATAGATATACCAGTTGAGCTAATACCTTCTTTACAACCAATAATTCCTCATATTCGTCGCAATTTTTTGTCACCATCTTTCTAAGTTCTGAAGGAATTTTCTGTGTAGACAGTGACTCATTAGTCGATAGAATCCGGATTTCAGAGGAGAGCAAAGGTTCTCTGCAAATAGAATGATTAACACAAAATTAATTACCACTATGGGGAATAATTATAGACGTCGACTATTAATTGACGATGCAAGATCTCTGTTTTTAGCCGGCCGTGCTTTCGTTTTCTCCCACTTTTAATCTAAGGAAATTGCTACATATCATTTCAATATGACACATTTTTAGTCACGGTCACCTTTTAGTTGATTCGCCCATGGACAAAAAAAAAAGCATGTAACAGCAATTATCCAAGTCTCTGTTATGTAAGCTCCCAGGATGAAACTGTTTTAGACAGAAAAGACAGTTCAAGCCAACGTGATTTATGATTGTTCTTTCGTCCTTATTTTTTGTTTTAACTGCCTGGCTCTGGCATAATGCGTCCAGGATCTGTCAGTTCATTTTCTATGAAGTCTTTCGCATAAATTGGTGCTTGTGAGGGTGGAGTGACTGATAAAGCGAACGAGAAATGCAAATCAAAGAGCCGATGTTGAATCCAGTCATGTTCGTTACATTTCAAATACAAGCCCAGGACCTTCCCACTCTTGTTGAAAGAACCCCTCCCTGAATGGCCATGCCTTCAGAGGTGTAGTTCTACTCGCTACGCTTGGGCAATTACGGGTTGGTGAGGCTATTTAACTCATAGTTGGTTTTAAATTAAGAGTTATCCTTCTCCTTGACCGGCTGCCAGCCAAGTCTGCCCTGCTATTTACCCATACCTGAGGGAGAAAAGATGGATTCATGCCTTCCTAAGGGTATCTGCACGTAGGTGAAAGTCACGAACTCAGCTGAAATTCAAACTCCGATTCTTCAATCTCCCTCTCCCTATAGATTAAATAATAGGTATCGTATCTGGAAAAAAAAACATTGTTATTCTCAAGAAATTGTTAAGGCTAAAGAAATGGAATTAATCTTACACTTCAAAATATGCTTCGGCTTCGAATAAGCCATTTAGAGTTGATAAACCGTAAAAAAAGATCATTGAATCCTATGGATTGAATAAATGGGTTGAGTCCACCAAGTGCTTCTTCCTTGATGCAGATGTGCATAATGCGCGTTTTGCATTTAAAATTAAACAAGGCATATATTTTCCCAGTTTTTACGTGTGTCTTTTTGCTGATATCTGATTGTCTGGCACAAAAAAATCGATTTATTAAATCAAAAGAAATGTATATACAGGGTGATCCCCAAAAAACGGGAATTTTTGAAGTGCGTATTGCCAGACATGACAAGTGGCGGCACTGCGAGACAGTGACCTTGAGTAAGTAAACATTTCGCCATTTAGAATTCAAGATGAAATTCACAGTATCCCAGCTGAGATGTTGCAGCAATCAATGAGGAATCTCAACAGCAGATTTCAAGAATGCATTCGTACATGAGGACGCCATCTGCAAGACATAATTTTTAAAAAATGAAAATTCCATCATTGTTTCTTAAATGGCATGTTTTAAGGTTTCAATTACTATGAATAAAATATTTTTCTTCCATCACTCTTGGTTTTAATGGATTGTTAAAAGTTCCCATTTTTGGGGGTCACCCTATATTACACTTATCAAGGAGCTCTCCATAATGAATATTGTTCCTAAAGAATTATTTATTAAAATTACGGCTACATTCGTTGAAGTCTTCTTCCTCTGAATATTGATTTGATTTCTTGTCCATAAGAAGGCGTTCGCTTTGCCTGAAAATATAGTATCTGAGTGCGGAGTCATCAGAATGTGCAATGAAGTCTATATTCAATGACTATGGTTAAGCTTTAGTAATTTCATATTAAGAACATGTCGAAAAATACAGGAAAATTCTAGAAAATGCAGTGTAGCGGTTAAAAAGTAGAATTCCCGTGCCGTGTTTAAATTCCGACCCAAATTCCTTGGTCACTTTTGTACATATACCCTTGTGAATCGCTTTTTTCTCCACCCCAGACTATGAAATGAGTATCAGGAGAGACTGAACTCTCAAGCCTTGATTGGTAAGGAACGACAACTCTAAATTTAAAAAAAAACGGCTAGGTGTAGTAATTGTAACTCCCTTGAGTAAAAACCGAACTTCTACAGCAGTTTGGTGTTTTGAAGTGATGGTCCACAATGGAATGCCACCGAGGAGGGCGTATCAAACCACTGTTGTTTCACCAAAAACCCTTTAGAAAAGTCCAAAGATGATAGTCGCGTATCGGTTAATGTTTTGGCTTCTCATTCATATCCAGCTTTTATACGAAACTTTTTCCGATATTATACTGTACACACAACAAAGAGATACACATAGAGTATTCTTTCTTTTTTTAGATTATAGTTTGGATTCGCGAAGAAGGAAGCAAGAATCCGTTGCATAAACGTGGTATAGACCGTGAAATAATGCCGGCATCATATATAGTTAAATATATTGTTCGAACTGTTGTTTGCCGACTATACTCACTGTTCCGTAGTGAAACCTATCGGTTGTGTCTCTGCATTTGTTTCGTCGGCTGTATTCAGGAAAATGCACAAAAGTCGCACTGCTTCTGTTTCTTACTGAATGTAAAATCAACCGTCATTTCGCCATTTCCTCTACTAATAAATAGCACAACGCATATGGTCTCAATGGGCTATTTTTATTGTCCCAAGGAGGGAATTTTTGCCAATTATTTGTCAATGAACGAGAGGATGTAGTGAATGAGTTAAACTCTCAAATCCTAGCACTGCAGACTCATACCCTCCAAGACAAAGCTTCTCACTGAAGAGTTTTAGAATATGAAAGCATTTTTTTACTAAAAGATCTCGCCTTCTTTCTGATTTGTCAATTCACGAACCAATGAAAAAGCACCGCCACACCTACCTTTTTCTTTCTTTCTTTTTCTTTTGCGAGACTTTTGACCGTCAAATATATCGTATTTCAAAAATACGGTATTTTTCCGACAACTTGACTGGCTATTCTTCATTTAGGAAGCAGATCTTTGTTTTTTTCCCTTTAATCCTTAATCTTATATTATCACTCTCTATTTTACACTCCCAATGTTGCATGTACCTCAGGCCTATACTACTTATGCTATGCTACTGAACTTAAAGGGCGTTGTGGAGTGCCATGACTGCCTACATCACGAAGGAGCGCTAGACATTGAAGAGAGAGAGAAAGAGATTAATAGCAAGGGAACACAAACAACTGCAGGAGAAAATCGAACTCATTTTATTTCATCATAGTGACCATTATTACCCATCCGTTGAACATCCATTTTGGCTGGTACAACTTGTAGCAAAATATCGAATCATTGTCGTTCGGTTGTCATCGAATTACTGTAAAACGCTTTGCAGAGAGACGAGTATTTATGATTTCATTACGAGCGAAAAAAAAAATTCAGTGTAAAATGTCCACAATGTTTATGCTAAAGAAAAGGAAAAATAAACAGAAAATGGCGTCTGTAGATATGGCGTCTGTAGATATGGAATCTGTATTTATTAAACTGTGTGTTTACTCACAAATTTGAGGAAATAATTCAATTTAAAACACCAAGCAAACTTAAAGTTTAACGCTTAAGTCTAGTCATAAACTGAAGGAAAAAATGTGTAAGAATATAACGTATTGTAATGGGCAATTATTGAATCATTTTCTGCTTCATCTCTGATAACGACTTTCAGAATATAAACATCACAGTTCTTGAGATAATAGCTCCTTTTCCAAACATCTCGATTATATCGAATTTACTGTACAGACAAAGAAAATAACAAAAATCGTTTAGTATATTCCGTATATTTTCTGCATGTATACGCTAGGATTTCATTGTATGTACAATTAATTCTAATGTCGCATATAACAGGAGAAAAAAAACTTCCCCTGATCCGTTGGGATTTTAAAAATCTCACATCATTTTCTAATATTCCCGAATATAATCATTATGTTTTGTACCTTGGAAGCTTCACGCAAAGTGTAAATTTTCTATTATTTATTTTTTTTTTTTTTACAATGGTGTTCATCCTCTATCAGGCCCGGGAGCCACTCGAGGCAGAGGATTGTAGAGTAAGAGACACAGCTTATGAGGATATGTATGAAGGATAACGGTTAACCGTAGATTCGAACAGATTAAGATTGTAGTGATCGGGGTGACATCTTCTTGGGAGTCGGTTCCGCAAGGTTCTTTGTGGGAAGAAGCTGCTCGAGTAGAACGTACATCTCCCCAATGGAATAAGAAGGGAATGAGGGCAGTTCGCTTAAACGATTAAAAAGCACTCCTTCCAGTCAATTTAAATTAGTTTTGAAATGCAGCAAAGTATTTTGCTTATTGGAAATATTAAATTTAATATATTAGCTTGAAATTAAAACTAAAATAAAACCTTCAAGAAAGATTTTTTCCTTTTTAAAAATTCATTTTAAACCTCAAGTATCGCGTTTCTTCGGAGGTACCTACAGATAGAGTTTTCAGTCAACACCTGACGATTGCATCATGCATGAAACTCAATTGGACAGTTTTTATATAATGTATCTACCGAAAAGGAAAAAATTGTAAGATCACATGAGAAATTGTATAAAAAAAAACTTAAAGCCCCTTGTCTGCCATTTCAATAAAACTTACATGAAAGAAGGATTGATATCTAAACACACAATATATATATATATATATATATATATATATATATATATAAGATATTTTATGTTTATACATTCTTTTTATAGATACAAATATTTAAGTAAATGGTCTGTTAAACAACATTTACCGGCCTGTTTAATACTGTTTATTATAAACAGAGCATTTACTTAAATATTTGTATCTATAAAAATAATGTATAAACATAAAAATGTCTTTATATATATATATATATATATATATATATATATATATATATATATATATATATATATGGTGGTACTTCATCGCTTAAACGGGCATGTGTTCTAAGGTTGTTCTTTATCGTAGCAGAGTATTTGCACACTGCCAAGCATGTGTTATTTGGAAATAATGTCACCTTGATAAGAATGATTAGATCAAATTAGATATCACTTTCCGCATAGGTTTTCATAGTCTTTGTAGACACGGACTGGATTTACAGATTTTGTTACACAATGCGTACCGTCATATTCCCAGGATTATGAAAGCATATTTTCAATGCACGTCCAAATTACTTGAAAGACTGAAGCACCACAGTCTTCCCTCTTTCTTATTTTGGTCTTGGGAGACACTAAGTTGCGCGGATATTCGAATATCCACTGAAAGTTTAAATTAGGGATAGAATGATTAACCCATAAACTGGGAATGACGAGAATTTATGTCATTGCTGTTGTATGAATCAACTGCGAATGCAAAAAATTCCAGAGGTAGTTAATTGATAAAATATTTGTAAGGGGTTAAAGAGCGTGTACGAAATAAATGTAGTACGGACTTTCGACGCAACCTTTTGGGAAGTGTCCCATTTTATATGATCGTACTATGAATAAACTGCGAATGCACAAAATTTCGGATGTAGCTAATTGATTAAAATCTTTGTCAGAGTTGGACATAGTGTGCGAAATAAATGTAGTACGGACTTTTGACGCAGCCTTTTGTGAGCAGTCCCATTTTATGCGAGCGTTCTAAGAGAAAAACTTCGAAGGAGTTGGTAGGAAATATATGATAGGCTAAGATATTTTTATGGACGAATTCCTCAAATTTTTGTGTAGCAACTTGTAAAATTTTCTGTTTTTTTTTGTCCTTTTTTTTTGTTTGTTTAATTTTTCTTGTCTTCTTTCTTAATTGTTTGTTTGTGCTTCAATTTTTACAAATCTTGAATCCTAGAAAGAAAGAAAAGATTGCTGAGCCTAACGCTGTAAATATACAATCTCCTCACAAATGATGAAGAGTGTTTTTTCTATCGACAAAGAAGTGCGTTTTATATTTGCTGTGTTGTTATTTGTGTAATTCTGTGTCTTTAATTTGCCGTTATTCCCCCAATAATTCTCTGACAGTCGCTATTCATGTGCGTTTTTCCTGTTTCTCTTGCAGAAGGCTCCATTGGTCTTCGGCTTTAAGAACAAGACTGACATGTTTCGCATCGACGAAAGGTTAGTGAACCTCCGCAAACATATTCTTTTTTCTTTTCTTTTCTTTTTCATTATTTATAATCATTTCTGCACTGCATGCCAAAAAAAAAAAGACATTCGTAGCTTCTGTGACCACGAAACACATCCGACTTTAATATCCAATACCGCTTATATAGTATTATGGTAATTTACCCACGCACGCATGGACTCTTCCAGCTATAAATAGGAGCAGGTACTGCCTTTTGGAGAGCGAAGTTTCCAGCAGTCAGCTCTGACAGTCGGACCGAACATTCTTGCTCTAACACTCTCGTTTGTATATGTTTGTATTACTGTTTCTGTTAATGTATTTGTTTAACTCAATTCCTCTCCTGTGACTATTTCTGACCCTAACAAGGCCACAACATATAGATTATTTGTTAAACTGTACTGACTGCAAATATAGAAATATATATTTATATATAGTATAGCTCATCTCGCGATCCCCTCTATACCTGAATATATATATATATGTGTGTGTGTGTGTGTGTGTGTGTGTGTGTGTGTGTGTGTGTGTATACATTCTTTTTATAGATATAAATATTTAAGTAAATGCTCTGTTTATAATAAACAGTATTAATAACATTTACCGGCCTGAATGTCCGAGAAATTTTCATAGAAAATATTCGTCCTCCGACATATAGCCTGACGTGCCTTAACCGATTGGGCCACAGAGGATTGTTCGGTTTCTATATAAAACCAGCTTCTGAAAACCTTGCTTTTTTAACTCTCAAACACTATAAGGGGATACAATGCAAGCTGAACCTTACTAAGAAAGGAACAAAACATCTTTCATTTCGACAGTTCTAATATTTTTTTTCTACTCAAGCATCGACCCCAGGTACCAGTGAAAAGTACACAACCACTTTTTTTTTATCTCAGTATCAAAGATTTCGTCGACTTAAACTATTAACGCTGCATCTTTTTCTCTTATTGCCAACTTGTGATACAAATTTCTTTCAATGTACTAAGTGTAGATTTACAAAAGTAAATTTGCAGAAATGTGGCGGGTGCCAGAGTCGGTTTGTAAATAGGCACATATTATGTTTGGTCGTTTTATTTGTTTATTTCTGTGGTTTTCCATTGCGACTCAGATGATAATGCGTTCGCAAATTAATTCGGTAGAAGCCAGTTTTTGTTCGATTTTGCTAAAATCTTTTCTTTTTTTTTTCGATGTCTACATGCATAATTGCTTGAATTTTCTTTTTTTAATCGATCATTTTTAAGTGTTTCCTCCTTGAAATTATTGTTAAATCGGTTTACGCATTAAAATAGATAGGAACAGACAAAGATAGATAAAAACAAACTGACAGAGATGGATAGGAACTGAAAGGGATAGATTGTTAGATATTAATTCACTAAGTTTAGCTTAGTTGTGGCTCAAGTCCAAACGTTTGGAGCACCCAGTGAGGATCGAATTTCACTACTCAGTCGTAATCGATCTAGCGAGACAAGCTTCCTCAACATTATACCACATAGATAGATAGATAGATAAGAACGGAAGTAGATAGATAGATAGATAGATAGATAGATAGATAGATAGATAGATAGATATCAAATTGACCGTGTTAATAATCACATGACGAATATAGATAGATAGAGACATGCGCTTATGATTTTGAGCAATTTCACCGTTTGTTCTATTCTCAAATATGAACAGAGCACGGTTGTGGCATTTTAATCCTATTAGTGTCTTACATCCCCTTGCACAGATGTGGCAACGTTGGGCGTCTTTTGCAGTGGTAGTTACATAAATTCTGCACAACGTGTGATGAATGACTTCACTGTGAGTAGCTACTCTGATTAATTTTGAGGCCTACCCTACTTCGACGTACGTGACCACATTCATTAGGCATCTGGTCAAATTCTGTGCAAAAGTGTCAGGGAAATTAGCATGAAAACTCTTACGAACATCAGTAAATACATATATATACATACATCTGAACAGACTGAGATAGATAGATAGATAGATAGATAGATAGATAGATAGATAGATAGATAGAAATAAAGAAAGAAAGATAGAAAAAGATAGAAATAAAGAAAGAAAAGAATTAAAACATTAGTAGATAGAATTTTTTTAAAAATGAAACAGATAGATAGATAGATAGATAGATAGATATGAAAAGACATAGATAGATAGATAGATAGATAGATAGATAGATAGATAGATAGATAGATAGAATTAAAAGATCGTGATAGAATTAAAAGATCGTGATAGATAGAAATTAACAGATTGAAACATTGGTCGATAGAAATTTAAAAAATGAAACATAGCTAGCTATCTCTCTAGCCAGCGAGATAGATAGATAGATAGATAGATAGATAGATAGATAAGAACGGAAGTAGATAGATAGATAGATAGATAGATATGAACGGAAGTAGATAGATAGATAGATAAATAGATAAGAACGGAAGTAGATAGATAGATAGATAGATAGATAGATAGATAGATAGATAGATAGCTGAAGTTTGAGATAGATATAAGGAGGGTATTTAGCTCCCCCTACTCACGATGGTAGGTCACAATTAACGTGGAGTTCACACGCGATTAAATGAGTGGTGTCAGAAAATTTCCAGTTCCTTCTGCACTTACCCTTTTCGGACGCCTTGAGCATCGGGAATTAACCCTGACTCTCACACTTCCTTCAAGTGCAATGTGGGGAAGTGCAGCCTGGTGTCCCGCTCCTCCTCCTTGAACTGAAATTTGGTTAATTTCCGCCTCAAGTCTTCTAAATGGGACCGTTAGAGGCGTTTGAATAGATATGCAGAGACTGAAATAGACGCCGCCAAAGTTCCTGCGTATTCAGTTGAAGCCGTTAATGTTTATTATTGGGTGGTATTCTGTCCATCTTATTTAGTTTCTATCATTTGGATCTGCTTCTCGCTTCGGTTTGTGTATGATCGCTTTTTTTTTCTACGTCTGCTTTCTCTCATTATTAAAATCTGGGAAGCTGTGAAATGAGTCGATTTAACATTTCCATGGATGAAAAACTCATTCAAAACGGTTATTCAAGATAACCATTCATTTGTTTTGATTTTTTGGCTTTTTTGTATGACGCTATTTGTGACACTCGTAATATGAAATTAGGCTTAAAAGGGTTCATATGAAAACCCCGTACGTGAATTGGAGAATAGGAAGGCTAAAAAAAAATGTTAAAGTCGTTAAGATGAAAACATGAATTGAAATATGCAGCCAGGGAAAAAAAAAGATTTTTTTTTTTTATTCCTGATAAACTGATGGGCAAATAGAATTGTTATGAATCCTCAAAGCCAGTCATGTAAACAATCGGGAGTGTCGTTTTGTAAAATAGGGAGAAAGTGTTTGGTTCGTATTGGTAAATCGACAACAAAAGAAAGTCACAATAAAGAATTTTCTTTGACATCAGATAGTAGTAACTTTTAAACACAAAAGTTTGTTGTCGGAGAATGTATTGTTTTGAATAACTGAACGTTTTGTTTGAGGCTCAGTGTCATTTCTACACAGTTAGAGAAAATAATTAATTGATAGGAATATTAATCGTCAACCGAAAAACAAAGTGAGTTATTACAAATCGCGAAGCCGATGACGTAAGCAGTCTAAAATATGTCCTGAGGAATGCGAATACAGTATTTATTTATTTATTCTCTTCCAGTCTTCCAGACACAGTAAGTTAGATCTTCTAGAATCATCGGGAACTCAAAAGCCAAAATGGACTGTATCTTCCATGAATCAAAAGCAAAGCTCTTTCAGGACAATAAGCAAACAAACTTATCAAATTAAATATTACTATCTACAAAGGGAAACAACTCAAACAAGACAAAACAAGATTTGTATTTATTTATTTTTATTTATTTTTTTACTTTTACTTTTTATAAATTTTAATTTTTCTTTATCTTGAATCATATGTGTTGCTGGAGAAAATTTACACCGAATAAATAGTTTTCATGATTGTCTTTTATATTAATTATCTCAAGAAATTTCAACTTTATTCCCAGAGGCCGGCATACCATTTTTGGAATCAGGCCGACTCCGTGGATAAATTAAAAACATTCCGGACCGAATCCGGATCCGCAACCCTGAAATTTTGGATTCCCAAATTTTCTGAACTGAGATACTTTTCGGCGATTTTTTACGTGATTTTTTGTAATATCTTGAAAAATAAACTTGGGGGTATCTGTCTATATTTCTGAGATGAGGTATTATGTATACTATTTACATTATTACATCATCATAGAAATGAATACAATATGGGAACCAGTAATAAGGAGAGCCAGAGAAAAGCGATAATAACAACAAAAATTGCAATATGATCTCTGGTAAAAACACGAGGTAAAAGCAAAAATTGCAATATGAGCACAGGTAAAAAATGTTAATGAAGACATAAGGCTTATAATATCCAGAAATACATGCACAGATGTCCACATGGCACAGTGGGTAAAGGCGTTGGTTAGATCCAGTGACAGGGCCCAAAGAGTGTGAGTTCAATACTTGGAGAGGGAAATAAGATAACTGATAACTGACATCCATTAAACATGGCACGTGGAACGAGAACAGTGTAAATTAAAGGGTTCAGTTCGACATTCCAACCACCTGAAGAAGAACGGAAGGTCGGAACGTACAACGGCCGAAGCGTTATAATAAATATGGCGACAAAGATGAGGACAATAGTCCGAATAATGGAAATAGTGTAAACTTGGGGGTATTCGAAATTAATTGTGAAATCCAGAAAAAGTCACCCATGAAATAAAAATAATTGCTTCTAAGGACCTACGTACATTAAACTGTCTTTAAATTAACTGGTGACAGAAGAATTATTGTTGAACTTTTTAAAAGGCAAGCTTAGATATTAATGCAATACTTAAATACAGCGATCAATTTTGAGTTCATCTGTAGTTTATTGTTGCCGATCACACCTACTCCTTCCTGCATATTGTAATGAAGGCCTAATCAAGAGCACTCCACAGGAGCTAGCTTTTCTTCTGTGACTGACTTCAACACAGTCTGATATTTTCAAGATTTCGCCAACCGATAATAAGTCTTCGTGGGGTCTCCAGCTCCCTTAGGATAGTTTCGAGATTGAATAAATCTGACGGGACTACACGTCCTTGTCTCACGCCTCTAATTTTGTGTACCTACTCAATCCTATCAATATGTTGGCTGTTTACACCCAGTTCTAGATTATTCTAAAATCCTTCCCATCTACCATTTGTCGGTGTAATTGAATACTATTGCCATATTTGGCCTGGTGACCTTGCAGTTCATCTCGAGGTTCTCGACAAAATCCAAAGATCTGCAATGTAATTGATCCTGATTTGGCATCTCGACTTCAGTCACTTTCTCGTGGACGTGATGTGGCTTCCCCCTCCTCCGTCTTTTCTACAAATATTTTCATGGCAATTGCTCTGACGAGCTTTTTTCCCTGGTGCCCCGACTATATGAATTTAAGCGTGATACTAGATTGACATCTAGGTCCTACCCTTTTACTACTGAAATAGTTAAATGTAACCTCCGCTTCTGCTCTGCTCCAACAGTTTCTCCTCTCACACTTCCCGACTGTGTAACTCCCCTCCTCTTATTTCCTTCCTTGATAACTACAACCGTCAAAAACTTAAATGCAATATCAACCGCCATCTTCTGTTGACTTGAATCCCGTTCATCTTTTATCCTTTCTTCAATCCTCCCTATACCCAGTTTTTCCCTCACTTTCACTCTCTGTAAGACCCTGCATACTACTGGCACTCCCGCCTTGCTTGGGGTGTAATGATTAAAAAATAATAATGAATAAATAAAGTGTTTTTCTATCATTTCAAACGGATATTTGTGTTCTACGTCATCAGATGATTTTGCACAATTTATTAAATATAAGTGTACATCTTTCTGCATTTGTATTGCAGTCTCGCTTGTCATTTTGATTTTAAATATAGCATTTCTTGCTCCAGTGTCCTTGGCAAAGCCGCGCGGTTCTTGTCCTATTTCCGGTCTAATTCTGCCTTAAGCTCTGTTCATCGGAATTCGGATTATTAGCATGGTTAAACGTATCAAAGGGCGAAAGAAATTTTGATGTGTCAACAGCCAACTAATTAAAATTAATGTCTATTTGAAAATATTTATTTTTATTAATGGATGGTGTTTTTGTTGAATGCAAATAGTTTCAACAATCTTTACTACGTTTTGCCAAAATATATTGAATTTATATATATATATATATATATATATATATATATACCGTATATTTCTATGTATAAGTCAACCCATAGATAAGACGACACCAAAACTCTAGGTAAATTTTCGTGATTTTATCTGATATCCGCAGTATAAGACGACTGACTAGGATCCATATGACAAAACTCTTAATAATAATATTTATGATGAGCTGTTTTCATCAGAATGTGATGATCATAGTAATTTTGAAGCGTTTTAATTATGCATACGGGTGTCTTTGTTATTTTATTCTCCGAGAAATAAAATGTTATGGCATGACACTACAAAAAATACTGTATAACATATGTTATTAAAAAGTAAAGTTTGCATGTTATACTAAACGTTGTTATTATTCAACACCACAATGATAATGAATTTTAATTAGAAATATAGAATATATATTAACCTAAATATTGTTATTTAACACTATTATGAGAAATAATGTTTGGTGTGAACGCAAGCATAGATTTATTATCTGTCTATATTTCTGAGATAAGGTATTATGTACACTATTTACATTATTCGGATTATTTTCCTCATCTTTGTCGCCATATTTATTACAACGTTTCGGCCGTTGTACGCTCCGGTCATCTTCAGGTGGTTGGAATATCGAACTGATCCCTTTATTCCGCTCACTGGGGTAGACTGTTTTAGTTCCAGGTGCCATGTTTAGTGGATGTCAGTTATCAGTTATCTTCTGCTAATTCCCCTCTCCAAGTTCTCCACTGCCTTAATCGGGTATTGAACTCACACTCTTTGGGTCCTGTCACTGGATGTAACCAACGCCTTTATCCACTGTGCCATGTATTCTTGAGGACCTGAAGATGGCCAGAGCGTACAACGCCCGAAACGTTGTAATAAATATGTCGACAAAGATGAGAATAATAGTCTGAATAATATAAATAGTGAAAGATTTGTATAACTGTTTGTATATGAAGGGGTGTTGTAA